CGTGCGGGCACAGGCGCTGTGCCCCGCTCCAGCCGCGGCAGCCGTTCCTGCCGCCCGGTGCGAGCTCGCAGCCTCCCGCGCCCCGAGAGGCTGCTGGGACGAGCGCGGCGAGCTCCCGGGGACCGGCACGCAGCTCCCGCAGCGCGACGCCTCCGGCAGCAACAGGTAAACTGCCTGGCTCTGCTCCGGGCACTGCGGTCCCCCGCGCCCAACGGGTCCCCGAGCTCCGGTGCCCCGGACGCCCCGTCTGCTACGTCTGGACGGAGGCAGAGCTATTGCGCACAGTGGCCCTTTCTCCCCTGCATCCAAGGTTCTCTCCCTCGCGTTTCCCCTCGCACTTTCTCTATTCTCTTTACCCCTCAGTTCTCTTTTTGCCTCATCCTTTTCCTCTTTCTCTGCCTCTCATCCTGTTTTTATATCCTCTCATTTTTGGTTTCTCTGTCTCCTCTCAGTCTCCCACTTTTGTCTCTTGCTCTCTCCTACTCCTTTTCTCATTCTCTCACTCTCACATTCTTATTTGTTCTTTCTTGATTCTCTCTTGCCCTCTGTCTCACTTTCTCTGTCTCATTCTTTCTGATTCTCATCTCTCTCTCTCTCTCTCTCTCTCTCTCTCTCTCTCTCTCTCTCTGTCTCCCCCTCTCAGACTCCCCGACCACCACCAATACCCCTGTCTCCTCTCCTGCCGCTCCCTCCTCTGCCCCCCCCTGTCGCGGCTGACAGTAAGCGGGATGGAAAATGCAGGATGCAGTGAGGGATGCTGACTTTGGCGGGCGGGGGGGGGGTGCAATAAGCATCTTCTGTGTTTTCTCCAGTCGCTGCTGCATTGCTGAAAAACTAGCTCAAAGCCCGCGGTGGAGGCAAAATAAAGTCGACATCGAGACAGAGGTCCAGAGACAGAGATCCAGCCAGAGAAAAACCGAGGTGAGGGGCAGTCGGAGAAAGATGGAAAGAGACAGAGATACACACACAAACTCAAAGATAGAAAGAAAGAGTTTAATAAGCATCCCAGGGTAGCGAAAGAAACCAACTAGAGAGTGCACACATTAGAGACATAGCTTGAAAAACAGAGAGACAAAAGAGACAAGAAGTGGAGTATTAAGAGACCAACGACAGAGAGGCAGACAGTGATATACAGAACTTAGGCACCGAGAGAAAAACCATAAGGGGAGACCAACAAGAGAGGCAGAGAGGAGAGGATCCGAAAAAGAGCAAATGCACACGTACCAGTGAGAAACAAGCCAGAGAGAGAGAGAGAGAGAGAGAGAGAGAGAGAGAGACAGACCCATAGAGATAGAACCCGAGAGAGACACTAAAACAAGGGAGTTGGAGAGACTATGAGACTTGTAGAGACACAGCTAGCGATATTGAACAAACATGCTTGAGAGCCACAGAGATAGATTGTCGGGGAAATTCCTGAGAGAGGAACGGAGAGAAGAGACAGCATCAGACATGGAAAAGCTGGAGCACTGGAAGGACAGGCGGTGACAGGCAGAAAGAGACAGAGACGGACGCCACTGGAAGAGACAGGGACGAGTCTGGGAGAAAGACAGGAAGGACAGGCATACGTGTAGCTACAGAGAAAGTGGGCTGGTGAAAGAGACACTGAGAGACAGAGAAACTGAGAGTGGGAGGGAGAGATAGGAATAACAGAGAAGGAAGCGACAGAGACTGACAGTGACTGTGCACGTGCTAGTTAGAGACAAGAAACAGAGACAGATGACAGAGTGAAAGACAGGGATGAGAGAGCATCAGAGGACACGGAGAGACACATACATTCCGAGAGATACAGGAAAAGTGCGCTAGCGAGACACTGGAGAGACAGAGATCTATGATTGTAAACAGGCAGGTACAGAGAGCGCACGCGCATGCGCCAGAGGGAGAGAGCGAGCTGAAGAGACCAAAAAAACTCTAATAAGACAGTGTGGGAGACGCGCTAGGAGCTCGCGCGCACGCGCTAGCAGTAGAGACGGACGAGTGGAAATCAGAGACCGTGAAAGAGTCCGGCAGAGAGACCCTGAGAGCTGGGGAAGGGGTCAGAGAAATTGCCCTGGCTGGGGCTGTGACCGCTCAGGGAGCTGAGGGAGGGATCCTGTTGGACTTGGAGCGTTCTCTGGGCAAGGGACTAATCCCGCCCGCATGTTTTTTTCATTCCCAGCAAAAACACTGTGTGCGGTCTTTACACCCCTTCGCTGCCCACCGGTGACTTCACTGGCCCTGCACCCTATCTTGCGCCTGCCTGCAATCGCCATGACATCCCCTTGTCCCAACAGCACGCGGGAAAGCAACAACAGCCAAGCGTGCATGCCCCTGTCCAAAATGCCTATTAGCCTGGCTCACGGCATCATCCGCTCGACCGTGCTGCTCGTCTTCCTCACGGTCTCCTTCATTGGCAATGTAGTGCTGGCGCTGGTGTTGCAGCGCAAGCCGCAGTTGCTGCAGGTGACCAACCGCTTCATCTTTAACCTCCTCATCACCGACCTGCTGCAAATTTCTCTCGTTGCCCCCTGGGTGGTGGCCACCTCTGTGCCTCTCTTCTGGCCCCTTAACAGTCACTTCTGCACAGCCCTGGTTAGCCTCACCCACCTGTTCGCTTTCGCCAGTGTCAACACCATTGTTGTGGTGTCCATAGATCGCTATCTGTCCATCATTCACCCTCTCTCCTACCCATCCAAGATGACCCATCGCCGTGGTTACATGCTTCTCTATGGCACCTGGATCGTGGCCATCTTGCAGAGCACACCCCCACTCTATGGCTGGGGTCAGGCTGCCTTTGATGAGCGCAATGCCCTCTGCTCCATGATCTGGGGAGCCAGCCCGAGCTACACAATTCTCAGTGTGGTGTCCTTCATCGTCATTCCACTGGTTGTCATGATTGCCTGCTACTCCGTGGTGTTTGGTGCAGCCCGTCGGCAGCATGCTCTGCTGTACAACAAGAGCCACAGCTTGGAGGTTCGGGTCAAGGACTGCGTGGAGAATGAGGATGAACGGGGAGGAAAGAAGAAGGATGAGTTCCAGGATGAGAGCGAGGTCCACGGCCAGGATGAAGGTGTGGTCAAGGCCAAGGAAGGCAGCGTGGAGGCCAGTGTGGACCCCATGGAAGCCAAGGACAGCAGCCTGAAGGCCAAGGAAGGAAATATGGAGATCATTGAGGGTATCATGGAGGCCCAGGGCACCGAGTTGGTCAGTGACAGCCGGATGAAGGGTAAGGAAGTTGGCACCAACGTTGAGGAGGGCAGCATGAAGGCAGACAAGGGCCGTGTAGAGGTCAGCCAGTGCAACATCGACTTGGGTGAAGATGACCTGGAGTTTGGGGAGGATGACATCCATTTCAGTGAGGATGATGTCGAAGCAGTGAACATCCCAGAGAGCCTCCCACCCAGCCGGCGAAACAGCAACAGCCACCCTCCTCTGCCCAGGTGCTATGAGTGCAAAGCTGCTAAAGTGATCTTCCTCATCATTTTCTCCTACGTGCTATCTCTGGGGCCCTACTGCTTTCTAGCAGTCCTGGCTGTGTGGGTGGATGTCCAAACCAAGGTGCCCCAGTGGGTGATAACCATAATAATCTGGCTCTTCTTTCTGCAGTGCTGTATCCATCCCTACATTTATGGCTACATGCACAAGACCATCAAGAAGGAAATCCAGGATATGCTGAAGAAGTTTTTCTGCAAGGAAAAGCCCCCCAAAGAAGACAGCCACCCAGACCTACCTGGAACCGAAGCTGGCACAGAAGGCAAGATTGTCCCTTCCCACGATTCTGCTACTTCGCCTTGAAGTTAGTTGTAAGGCAAATTTTGAACTGTCCACAAGACAGTAAACAAAAGCAGCTTTCTTTTCAGTGGACCACCCACACTCTCATTAATGCTAATACATCTCATTTCAGGCAAAGGTGTCAAACACACATTCCTTTTCACTACTAGGTAGATAAACACATGGAAAAGTGGGAACTTGGGTCAGTGTGCCCCTCAAAGCATGGACTTGAGGATTCTGACTGAAATTCGCCCCCCCCCCAAAATTATTAGGCTCTAAATTTCTAAAAGCAACAAGGGCTATCCATATTGGAACTGTACTTGGTATTCTGCTTGTGTACCCAGAGCTACAACATGCCAGCTTTGGCTCTGAGGGGAAAAGAAAGATGATGCCTGTGGACTTAAAGACTATGTAGCCCTCATGTCAGGAGCTCATGGACCAGGGCTAGAGTTTATGTTCAACTGAAAGAAAAGCAATGGACCAAATCATTCGTGGAGCCCAAGAAACAGAATCTGATAGACTGATCAAAGTATGAGTCAAATTCGGAAATGAAGAGATCCACAATCTGGTGCAGACTTACACAGATGAAGACAGAGGCATTCAGTAGTTGAAACACCAAGAAAGTTTCTAGGTTTCCTAAAGGGATCCAGAAAAGTGGAAGGGCATGTATGAAATGGGAAGCTAGTCCAAGGAAATCGATGGAGAAATAACACACATCCACGGGGCCAAACAAATGGTGTTTTTTCCTCTCTCTCAAATACTGGGTTTATACATGGGCTGGGACTGAATTCTCTCCATGCAGATGAAAATTTGTCAACTGAAACTAAAATATTTTCTCTTGTTTGAATAATAGTGGGACAGAAATCATGGTGTTATTTTATAATTTCCCTCTCATGACTAAATTGGAGTGCTCATGGGAATCCACCAGATCTCTGTCCATCACTTGTGCTTTGTTTTATTTCAAATACACTTTTTGTTCAATCAGTATTTCCAGAAAAATATTTCAACTAGGAGTAGCCAAAATTCTTTAAAAAGCTCACACTACTTATTAAGAACGAAATGCCCAACAGAAATCTCTTTTGTGTCTGTGAGTTCATAGACAAGAAGTAGAATAATGTCCACATGGGGAACAAGTAAGGCATTTGAACATTTTCCTTTCTCCATATACACCCATGTCTTTTCAACCTGTGTCCCTCTCCAAAGCTTTTGAGCTCTCTCCAGATGCAGGATAAAAATATAAGAGAGTCAGAAATGACAGAGAGAACAGATTTACAATACCTGATCTATTCCAAACAATCTGAAATCAAAGCATTCTAGTTAGACCTCTCCTAATTACTGCTGTTGACTTTGGAGAAACCTGTAGAATAACTACAGAGGGAGAGTTTTCAAGTCCCAAAGGCTGAAATCACTTTGGGCCAGGGTATACCTGTGAATTTTTGAGGGCACAGGACCTATCTAAAGACCAAATATCATGGAACCAAAAAAAAAAAATAGTGATTCGAAGATGAAATTAAAGCAGCTCTACAGCCAACTAGCTGGTCATGAAGAAATTCAGTGTTAATATGGTGGATGGAGAGGAGGGAATATTTGGTCAAAAAAATGGTTAAACAGGTTGTTGTGTATAAAGATGGTCATATTCAGATTTTAGCCTCATCTTGTGTGATCACCATGTCTTTATTAGAACTCATCTTTTAATTGATATAAATGCCCAGCTCATTTATATTTTCTTTTATCTCTTCCTTCTCACAGATTCCAACATGCGCTTCTCAAGGGGGAGAGGTAAACAGCAATGTATTTGGGCTGTGAATAAGTCTGCCTGGAAACTTGGGGTTGTCATGTTCCGAATGTAGAAAACAAGAGGGGATAGGACTGAACAAAATTGATCTGACCTGTCAAATCAATATATTCATGAAAACCATATTAATTCCAACTCCATTAACTTAGAACTTGTGGTGATTCAGACAATGCACTGGGGCTGAAGTTCACCCTCACACCATCATTTATTTTTCTACCCAAATTTATAAAGAAAATTAATAGTCATAAATTTATTATACTAATTTATTTCCCAACTCTTGAATTGACCTGTCCTTAAAAGACATAGGGTGAAGGAATGGCTAATGTGGTCGGTCCTCTCGTGGAGGGAGGGGTATTGCAGGACTATAATCATCAAAGGAATCCAATGTAGCTGCAGCCTGCCTTTTGGGTAGAAATGGTTGTTTATCTGAGTAAGAAAAAGAATTTCAAACATCAGTATGTCCTACATTTTGTTGAAACTGAACTTCTTGTTTTATTTTTAAAGCTCAACCTTTTCAAAGTGTATCAGAGAAAATTGTTTGCTAAAATCCCAAACCAAAATGGAACCAGAGCCTGTACAAGTGTGGTAAGTCCATTTAACATTCTCCAGATTGCCGAGACTCACCGGTTCCTTTTAAAGTTCCCTATTCTAGTCATCATCCCTTCTTTTGGCAAATTGGATTCTTCAAAGGGTGAAGACCTTTTGAAAATAGGAAGCTGGGAACGAGTACCTTTGAATTAAGGATATTCTGCTTTGATGACATTTTCTTCTTAATGAACAATAGGGCCTCTGGTTAGCTTAGAGATAGCAACTGCTTCAAATTTTGTGCTATTTTGAATAAAGCACGATCAACTTAATGAGGTTTTACTGCACATACTGTTTTGCCATTTGAAAATCTGAAAGCACACAAAAAAATGTCATCATTAGCCTCACAGATCCTCACATGCAATAGCTTTTCCTAAATGTTTTTAAAGGATGTATTCTTTTGCCAAGGCCACTTCATATGTGCAGTAAAAAATCCCATTAAAGTGCGGGGGCCAGACAAGCCAGACTTTGAAATGATGTGATTTTAAATTTAATGATTTCCTTATTTAAGAATAATAGAGCATCTAGTTTGCCAAGGAGTCGCAGGTGCTTTGACTAACACACCAATTTCAACAAGCTTGGGAAGGCAGAAATAAGGAGCAAACCCTCGGCTTCTGTGACTTCTATGATGCGAGCGTCCTTCTTCTCTAAGACATCACAAATACCAGCTGCTGGCAAGTCCTCAGCACTTCCAGCTCCCTGCCTACCTCTTGCCACCATGCCCACTGCCTTCTCCTGCTTCACTCTGTTTCCCCCTGCTGTGCTGGCCCTTCAGGAATACCCCATGCTTGAAGCTCTGTGTGCTGACTCATTCTCCCATCCATCCCTTCCAAACCTAGAGCTATGAGATTCACAGGGACCTGGGGGCCACGGAAGCAGGAAGGAGAGAAGTGAACCAGAGAGTGACCAGCAATTAAAGGTATTTTTCTGTCTCCTCCCCAACTCCAATCCAATTTAGAGATGATGGGATACCTACTTCAAATTCAACAGGTAAGGAAAAGTGACATTGTATGATTTAGGAGGAGGTAGGCACCTCATTTTTTACCAAAAAAAAAACTATCTGATACAAAATAGTTTCAGAAGCACATTCAATCCTGTAGATACTGTCCAATTATTTCAGCAAAAAAAAAAGCACTAAAAAACTTTTTTCCTAGAAAATTATAAGGTGCCTAACATTGCCTTATTTTATACATAATTAGCCAATTAAGATAGGTAAAATTTTCAGAAGAATTTTTCATACTACCTGAAGAATAATTTACATGACTGAACTAGGCTTGCTTTCTTAGATTTTGCCAAAAAGCTCTATAAAGTGTCTGAAACACACCATTTAAAGGAGAAAAGATTATGCATCCTCTAGTAATTTGAACTCCCTAAGATAAAACCCTCAGGGGTCGTTGGGATAAAGCAGAGAGTAACAATTTAACCTACTGGACCATATTTTTCTCTGATAACTGCCCTCCCTCATATTTTGAGGGAAAAAAATCAACCTTATAATCTATTTTCTGTTGTATTCCTCTTTAAGACAAACCCCATGTTGTCAGGAGAGCTTTCTCCAAGTAAAACAGTCTTTTCCTTCTATAGCAGACAAAAGATTAAAGGAGCAGTTGGCTGCTAGCCAGGTGCCAAGATAAGGAGAGAAAATCTGGTCAGTCACAGCTTCTAACCTTCTTCCTCCTTATCTCTGTCTCTTATTTTCTGTGGGCTGGACTGGTGCTCTTGGTCCCTGAAAGCCCCTCCAAGCTTAGGCATGAAAAGACAGAAGCATGAGCTAGAAATGGCAGACCATAGCCTAAAATCCCCAAAGAAGAGAAACTGTTGCCACAATTATGTGCAATCCTTTATGGCAAATGCCCAGCTTGCTTAATACCAGTCTCCTGCTATAAGAAAAAAATTAATGAATAAATAAAATAAAAATGGCCAGAGGAAGAAGTAAGAAAGCTAAAACCAACTTGGCCACTGACTGCCAGGTCCCTGGCAAGTTCACTGCTTCTTGGATCAGAATCCTCAAGGTAAATGAAGGTTGCCAATAGGAGTTAGGTATTTCCATCATTGCCTCCCAAAGCCTCCATATCTCAGAGTATACACACCAAGGGGAAGCCACATGAACTTGTACATTTACAGAAGGTTTGCTATGTCTGAGGATTAATTACTGTATATTTCTTGTTCTAAAATAGATAAAAACAAGATTGGTTTTAGTTTGGTGCTTCAAACTTGAGTGGATTTTCCCCCCTTCATCTGTATTACAACTTTAATGTTAAAAGTTTGGTATTTTTGTCCTGTTTCAGTGGTGTATTCTCTTTTGTAGTAATTCTCTTAAATGTAAGCTATAACTGTATATAAAATATAAGTGTTCTTGAAGATAAGGTGCTAGATATTAGATTGTTTTTGTTCGTAGATAGTGTTATTCTCAAAAGTGGGTAGTATGTACATGTAAAGTTACTTAACAAAATGCATGCAGAATTCTATGTGACCACACCTTGGTCAGTTTCTGAAGTAGAACATAGTACATTTGTTTTTTAAATTTTATTTTCAAAGTGTATACTACAGGATATGTAAGATGGCTTCAAGGTGGGGTGGCAGGAAATGGTGCCTTTCATTCCTTAAATCCCTGGTACGGTATATGGCAGGCAAGAACTTTTTCTGATACAACTGGTCATTAACATGAACGGATCATCTTAGCTGAAGTCCTCGCTGGCAGTTCTCCACAACCCCCTTGGCACTGGTATGCCTGTTTTCCATTAACTGAATGTGTAGAATGCAAAATCAAAGAAGACAATACCTTCCCCATCACAAAGCAAGGACCCCGGATAAGCAACTGGAGTCCTGTTAGCAGGATGGAAAGAATACTGCGCTCTCAAGTCCTAACCAGTAACCAGTACCTGACAGTGAAATGACAGGATTTGCATTTTGCAGATTCATTGTGACCATCTCTGTCCTCCTAGAGCAGCACTAAAACCCAGAAAAAGGCTGCTCTGGTTGTTTTTCCTTTGGTTGGTTGTCTGAGAGACGAGAAGGAGCATGCATGGGTAAACAAAGAGGTGGTGGGACTCCTCTGGGGGTCATATCTATGGTGTTCGAGAATTACAATTGTAAATCAATGCTATTTGTAACAGATGAAAAAGAGAACTATGAAATAATTTTATTATATTTTCAGAACAAAAATATTGCAATGAGAAAACTATATTATATATATATATAAAATCTACATATATGTACCCTCATTAAATCATTTTAAAAACTGCCTTTAATGCCAAATTTTATGTGCTACTTTGAGACTGAGAACAGAAAAAAAAATGCACTCAGTCAATGAAACAGTTTTCTTTAATACTTCACATTTTAAATTTAAACATTTCTTTTTCCTTTTAAAAAAGGATTTGTAATTTAAAAGTGCCTTTTCAAAGGATTGTCACATACAATCCTGGGGCCAAGTTCCCATTGGCACAATTTACCTTCAGGTGCACAAAAGGGGTGGACTTTATCCTCCTCCCCTCAGCAAGAAGAGAAACCCCTTCACACCCCAATCAAATTCATGAATCCATACTGTTACATGGGCCAGTAGTCCCAGAGACTCTGTCCCAGGGCAAGGTTTCATATATTGGTTGGCTTTAATTGGATCTTTTCTAAAATGGTTACAACGCAGTTTTTACTGGACAAGAATAACAGACTCCTGCTTGGGGAATGCAGAGAGGTTGATGTTTGTGATTTAACTAAGTATTATTAAATAATGTTTGTGTTTCTTAAATAGGTGCTGTTAATCTGTCCTTGGTATATTCTTCTGAAATATGCTAAATAAAGTCAAATTTTATGTGTGTATCTGGTTACTATGCTGAGCTCCTTGAGAACACAGTGACCACCACCCAGGGTTAGGTTTTCATACCTTCTCCTTAGCTCAAAGAAAGGAAGCAGAGAATAAACAACTTGCTACTCCACAAAGGAGAATGAAATAGATGAACTCCCACATTTCACATTTCAATATTCCAATATAAACAATATGCAGTGGGAAGAAGGGGTTGCCATCAGGAAGGGCTTGCTGGAAGAGATGCATTAGTCCTCTATGAACAATAAAGATTTCAGAAGGTGAGGGTGGGCAGAGAGGGGCATGGAGCCACATGGCTTGTGATACTCTCAAATTCTAAACTTCATTCCCAAGACAGTGATGTTTAAGCAGGAGTGGGGGCACTGTTTTTAGGTAACAGCACTACCCAATACCTGTGTCACCTCCACTGGGCTTTTCCGCCTGTTTCCTATTACTACAGCCCAGAACACTTCCCTCAGCCCATCTCAGCTCAGCCTGGCCTAGTTCCCCACACCCACCACAGTTCACCCCCAGGGTTTACAGAACAGGAGGACAAGAGCAAGTTCTCTTAAGCCCCAGTTTCACAAAACACCTATACTTCTAATGCAACCATTACATGTGAAAACAGAGTACACAGATGAAATGAGAAAATATGTCTAAAACTTAAGAGCCCTAGTTCCTCTTCAGTCAAAGTAGTTGACCTGCTAGCAGCCCCTCCTCTGGTACTCCATGCAGCCCCATTTCAATCAAATTAATGTGCTCTCTACACTTTTCACTGCAGAATCAAGCTAAATACTGATTTACACACTTTCAAGATGTTCAAAGATGGCTGCCTTGAGACTCGCATGTAGCTGCCTTCACCTTAATCTGTGAATGACATCCAGGTAATAGCTTTTTTCTTCAGCAGAAACAAATTTCCATTTCTAGAAAACTGCTACTGTCCATGCAAATAAATGGACTTGAGAGCTCAAATAAAACTATCATGAGGCAGTCACCTGGTGGGGAAAGAATTCCCTGAAGCTCAATATCCCACTGTTTAGTTCAGAGTATTTAGAGGAGAGTGAAATGGGTTCCAGTGAGCCTCATAATTTATAACAGTTTCAACTCTTCAGGCAAAGCTAAGGGTCCAGCCCTCAATTGTGAGACTGAATGGGAAATTGTTGAATCCAAAACTTCCACTGTAAAGGAGACCTTTTTTGACCTTCTGTGACTGCTCCTTATCCCATGACTTTATTCTAGACCCAAGGCCCAATTTTCATCAGCCAAAGCCCTAATCCTTCCAATATAGGCAAAGGTATACTACTGGCTAGTAAATTATTTTATCTTCTATGAGGCAGCTAGTCAACCCCTACTTCCCCTCACAGTGTCTTTCAGAACATAACTCTCTGACCCTGTTCCTCCTCATTCCAATCTCCCTTCCAAGGGCAACATGAGCTTTTTGAGCCCTGCCCACAGAAATGAGTATTCCTCAGTTTTAGGATGGCTTTGAGAATGCTCATGAATTGAAGAATATGTGTAGGCATTTTCTGAAATGTTTTTCTAAGACTTATATTTTTCAATAAACTTTATCACAGAACATTTATGACCATTCCCCAAACTGCAAACCTGAGGGTATTTTTATACACATATACAACATTTGGGGAGTTGTGACACCTGACTTTTGTTTAGTTGAGGCAAATAAATCTAAGAAACTTACTCCAAAGATTTGCTATCTACAATTAAGTAAAACTTGAACATTCTCAACCTGCAAAGGAGAATAGGTAGAAATAGACCACCAATAATCAGAAATCTTCGGACTTAATGGAGGAATAATACTATCTGATATTCAAAAACTCTATATGGGAGCTGCAGATGTAGCTTAGTTAGGTTCTATCTCCACCACCAAAACCAAACAAAACTCTATATGGTAAACCAATGTACATATTTTTAATGATCATCCTGATACAAAAGTGTAAAATAGCTTGTATAAACAACTTCAGTTAGAAAAATGCATGTTTGCCAGGTGCAGTGACACACATCTGTAATCCCAGCAGCTCTACAGGCTGAGGGAGGAGGATCTTAAGTTCAAAGTCAGCCTCAGCAACTTTGCCAGGCGCAATGGCACATGCCTATAATCTCAGCAGCTCTAGAGGCCAAGGCAGGAGGATTGTGAGTTCAAGGTCAGCCTCAGCAACTTAACAAGGACCTAAGTGACTCAACAAGACCCTGTCTCAAAATAAATAATAAAAAATAAAAAGGGCTGGGGATGTGGCTCAGTGATTAAGTGTCCTTGGTTTCAATCCCAGGGAGGAAGGAAGGAAGGGAGGGAGGGAACAAGGAAGGAAGGAAGGAAGGAAGGAAGGAAGGAAGGAAGGAAGGAAGGAAGGAAGGAAGGAAGGAAGGAAGGAAGGAAAAATACATGTTTAACATACAATTTATTTGACAATACTTCCAGTGGACAAAAGCTCTAGAACTATTCTAATGGAACAATTAGATGCTCTGAACAATATGAGAAAGAAAAAGGAAAAGAAAAAAATGTTTTTTTCATATGGAAAACCAGTGTATTCAACTTTAATATTTTTAAAAGAGATGTGCCTCCCTGGCTCTAATTGCTTTAAATTAAATACTTTTTATCTTTTCAGGGAACTTTGACCTTGAATAAATATTTGCCAACCTGTTTTCTTCCATATTATCAGTATTTTGTGTCATACAAAATGAGGCCAGACAATGAGATTTTACATTTATATATAATTAAAATTTATATAATTAGGAGTACACATATATCTCTATTGATGTTGATACAGATATTCAAAAGCAAGGATGATATGCCTGGAAGCCTTTGGGGGAAACTCTTTAATCCACTTTCGCCACACTGAAGACTGTAGTCATAAACAAGAAGAGGGGGGAAATCCAACTGTCCCTGAAATAAAATGAAAAAGATCTTTGTTAACCAGACATCATAGCAAATCAAAGTAGCTTTCTCAAGAACACCAAGGACATGAGTTTTGAGGTGGGCTACAGAATCTCCAAATCTCAAGACCTGTACATTGTCAAATGAAAATCACCAGGCTCTCTTGCTGAGCAAACAGGATGAGCAGCAGAGCCTGAGCAGTCACCTGCTAATGGGTGTGAGAATCCATCTGATTGAATTTTTCAGGTCCCTAACCAAAGTCAAAAAAATAAAAAAAATGAGCAGTTTAAGTTCTCCATTTCAAAGACATCCAAAACTAATTTCTGATACAACAAACTTCTTACAACGTGCTTCAGTTTAGAAAATGTAAAAAACAATTATCATTACATGTAGCAAAGAGAAAATAATCTATTTATATGCCCAGATCTTATATTAGCATTCAAAATCAAGTTGAATCTCCTTCTCTCACCATGCACAAAAGTTAACTCAAAATGGATCAAGGAGCTTGATATCAAATCAGAGACTCTGCGTCTGATAGAAGAAAAAGTTGGCT